AAAAAAAAAAAAAAAAAAAAATAACAGACGTTTTATCGTGGAGAAAATAGTTTTTAATAAAGTCGCTTCATTGTTACAGCGAATGCGTCATTTGCACACACTGCTAAAGTGCCAGATGATGTGTGCTATTTGAGTTATAAGCGGTTTTTGTGTCTATGCTCCCTCGGGAGCTTTTATCTGTATATTTATTCCAGATAGTTCTAGTATGCAACATTATTTTCTATAAATAAATATACTTTTTTTAAGCATTAAATACATGTCAAGCGCGGATCCAAAGTTTACCCTGGCTATCGCACAGATGGGTTCCCATATTGGGAGAGAAGAGAGCTAGCTTGTTTTTGTCGCTGGAAGATAAATTTTAGATAGGCCTCTTCGAAAAGTTTTTGTTTTCTAGATTCTTTAATAATAATAATAATAATAATAATAATAATAATAATAATAATAATAATAATAATAATGTTATATTTATATAGAGCATATTGCACATTGCCCCTATGCGCTTTACAGAGAAATAATATAGGCCAACTGAGAAAAAGCAAATAACAATAAAATACACTTTGTTCATTATGAGACGTCTATTATTGAATACAATTTGAATTCATAGTTTTTCCCTACTTCTGTGGACAATTAATAATTATGATGATTAAGTAGATGATATGATGATGCGGAGGAAGCTGTGCAAGATTAATTAACAGGCCCTTTGATGTGAAGTGTCAAGCGAGGCCCGTAGCCTAAGTTCGGTTGGGAATTTGGAGAATTATCGTTGTCGTCAAATGTTCAATGCACACAGTCGGACAATAGATGATTTATATTTTTTTTGTAGAGAAAGTAATCTGAAACCCACAAAATATCAGTTCAGGCATTCATTAATCTGTCTTGTTACATCTAGAATCGACTATTGTAATGGAATCTTATGTGTACTACCATATGCATCGATCAAGCGAATTCAACTTCAATTAAATACTGCCGCACGTCTCGTCAAACAAATATCGAAAACTCAACACATCATCTCTACATTGAAAACACTTCACTGGCTTCCAGTAAGGCAGCGCATTACATTTAAGATCCTTGTTCACACCTTTAAATGCCTTCACAACTTACCTACGTACCTGACCGATCTTATCCATCTCCGGTCATCAACATGTTATCGAAGTCTACGTTCCACCTCATGTCCATATACTTTATCTACCCCTTTAATTCGTTCTAAATATGGAGAGAGGTCCTTTCAAGCTGCTTCTCCCAAGCTATGGAATGCACTCCCTATTATTGAGATCCGACAGTCTCATTCTCTATCCATTTTTAAGGAGAGACTCAAGACCTACCTTTTTCAAACTTTTTAATTTTTCCTTTTTGTTGTTTTACCTTTGTTGTTTTACTTTCATCGTTTAGTTTTTCTAGGATAGGCTAGTCTAGATGCCAACATCACTTGAGCATCTGTGAGTTATGATCCTGCAAACCACTGCTTGCCTGTGGTCTCAAATTGCAGGAAAACGGTGCGGTGATGTTGGTTCCCCTGCGATAGTCTGTTCTCTCATGCTTTTTTTTTAATTCTTTGGTCGCTTGGTTAGACTTCAGGATTTAGTTTTTGGTTTGTTTTCTTTTGTGTAATTTAAGCGCATAGAGACCATGTAGTATGCGCTTTACAAGTCCCAAACCATTACCATTACCAAACATAACATATGAATCATACAAAAAATAAAAAGAATTCAAATAAAATTAAAAATATGTAAAAATCATCTACACTAAATCAAAATGGAATATTTACTGTCTGTTGGATCCCAGATTTAGTATTGCAAGGCTTTACAGTATAACCAATCGCCGTATTTCTGATAGATTGCTGATTAAAATGTAAAATATTTAAGATTTTATATTCAGTACATTCTCAAAAAATGTTATGTAAATCTCGTATATCCCAAAATCACGTTATATTTATGCACCGAAGTAGAAAATTTAACTTAATAATTTTGATATGTTTTATGTTGAATGGTTTTTGCTGCGAAGCAGCCAATTCATATTCTTGACAGCAATTTGACCTCTGAAAGGTAATTGTTTGTCAAAAAACGAGTGCCTAAGACGACTGAAAAGCGGAGTTTCCTTCTTTCGTTCTGCCGGGTAAAACCAATTACTTTAGGCGACGTTTGTAGACTAACCTACTCGTACCAACGTCCGCATGTCGCGCTAGCCTTATCCTACTCTAGGCCTAGACTAGCTAGGATGGTATAGGCCTAGCCTTGAAGACGAAGGTCCCAATGAAAAACGAAATGAAAAATGAAAACGTCGCTCTTTGATAGCTAACATTGTCTATTTAACATCACAATAATTCATTATTAGACCTATAGTCGTTTTTTGAATTGTACTCCACAAATCTCAGCCGATACCTCGCACAACTGGCAACGTCTCGATCTATTGTCGTGACGTCATGGCTCGCTGGCTCACACTAACTTGTGATATGTCTCGAACTTGTGATCAAATAACACGCCGGCTCGCACTTTGGCAACACTCTTTGGCAGTCAACTCGCCTCTAGAAAACCCGCCCTTGGAAACTTTCCCCATAAAAAATGTACACTTCCTAGACCATGCAGTCTTCAAAATAAAAATTGTAACCTTTGGTAATCAACTACATTTTCCACATACATAGAAATTTTTGAAACTTATTAAAAAAAACCTAAATCATAATTCACCACACTATAGACACTTTTTGACAAAAATGAAAAATTACGACTTTGTTACCCAATGAGAAGTGTTCTAATATAGACAATGGGTC